TTTGTTCTGCAGTCAAAAGTTTTTAAGAATTTAATTATCTAAGAATTATTTTTTAATTAATTTAACTATTTTTAGGAATTTAATTATTTAATACTTTTTAGTATACAGTCTAATCACTTCAAATTCATTTTTCTAGAGTTTACAATAATTAAATATATTATTATTTTCATAAAAATTTAAAAATTATATGACTTAACACATCGCATTAGTGCATATTTTTCTTAGTTTTGCAAAATTAAAAAAAATAGAAATATTATTTTGATTCTATACGTTCCTATTTTTTTGTTTGCATAATTTTCCATCTTGTTTATTATTTAATATATACAAACATTTGCATATATTAATTTATTTTCAAGTGTTATAAACGGAATCAACTTCATGGAAGACGTGCACCACAATATTTTGAAGAAGGTCAACTGATCAACTACAAATTCCGTATCGATAAAATGATAGGTGGTGGAGGATTTGGTCAAATTTATCGAATTATCGATGAAGTATAATTTTTGATTTTTGAAAATTTGCATAGTTACCAAAAATAAAGTCATAAATATTTGTAAATAATTATTTGATGGAAAGCTTTTGGTAACTTTTTACATTTGCTAATACTGTATTAGGCAATTTAATGATAAAAATTATGCAAACGAAACGCTTTTAATTAAAAATAGTTACAATGAGATAACAATTATGATAAATTTTATTCGAGATAATGTATTGCTTATAGCGTACTAAATCAGTTCTTGCAATAAAAATTGAACCAGAGGATCATGAACCAGGTCGAATGATACTTGAACAAAAGGTCATGCTAAAACTACGAGGAAAACCGCATATACCACAATTTGTAATAATATTTTCTCTCATAATTCTTTTTTATTAATAATTACTTTTAATATCCATAAAGTTTTAATTATTTTAGTGGGAGATTAATACCAAATTAAAATTTCTTTCTTCTAATTATAGAAATATTATTAAAATTTATTTCTTCAATGCATAAAACTTTCTACAAATTTTTCAAATGAATAAATAAATTTATGAAAAAACTTGCAGTTTGCTAGTGGTAATTACCATGGATATAACTTTATTGTTATGCAAATATTGGGGAAAAATTTAAGCGATATCAGAAAACGACAACCGAAACGACGCTTAAGTATTCCAACAGTTTTACGTATTGGAATGCAAACGATGGAGGCACTAAAATCCGTACATGATATTGGATACATACATAGGCAATTTTATTTTTGATAATCTTTCCATATCTCATAAAATATGCAAATTTCTAAAAACTTAAATATCTCATAAATACGTTTATTAAGAATCAAAAAATTGTTTTACTAGCAACAAAACTGTACAACAGATGATAGCATCATATTTATTAGATAAAAAATATCTCAGATTTTTTAATGTTTTAACAAAATTAAAATATATGTAAAAGCAATAATTTCTTTGCAATTTAAAAAAAAATACTATTTCACCTTGCGTACTTTTATTCTTGTAATTTTGTACTTACAAAAGTTTTTCACAATTTATCAAATTTTTTTGAGAGATGTAAAACCATCGAATATTTGCATTGGATTATATTCACATAAACGAATAATTTATATCGTTGATTTTGGTATGGCTCGACTTTATCGCTTTGATGATGGAATAGTGCGAAGAGAGCGATATTACGCTGGTTTCCGTGGAACTTTACGATATGTATCCGTGACGGTACATGAACGTAGAGATCAGGTAATAAAGTTATCAGTATAATGTGACGATCACTACCATTTTATTATGATAAATTACCAAGGTTAACATTTGTTTTTTTGTTGATAAATCTCATTTATAATGTCTTGAGCGTACAAATTAAATTGTGCCCATCATAGACACGTTGCTAAATTCACATTCATTATTTCTTATTAATTTAAAAAGAAAGCGAAAAAGATATAAGTGATATTTTGAAAAATGAAAAGTTTTGTCATTTGATATCATTAGCATGGATTGCTTATCATTTCTGTTCATTCATTTTCTTTACAATTCCAAAACTTTTATCAATGAATTTAAAATCAAATATGGTGCGATAAAATACAAAATATGAAAAATTTGAAGTTCATTTCTTGTGCTTTTTATATTTATATCTTAAGATCAAATGTGCAACAATAGCTTTGTAGGGACCTGTAGATGACCTATGGAGCTTATTTTATTCCTTAATTGAGCTTATTCAAGGCTATCTACCATGGAGTTCAATGATAGAACCAAATGAAATTGCAAAATATAAAAAAAACGTCGTTTTTGATGAATTTGGAAAGTAACATTTTATTTTTATAACCAGCAAAAAATTTTTTTAAATTTAATGCTATACTTTAATCACTTTGCTACAACGAACTAAAATTAAGTTATTTATCAAACGAAATATTTCAGACATTTTTGCTGCTAATGAAAAATTATACAAAATCTCACCATTAGCCATTTGCAATTCGTTTTTTATTTGATATAATTGTGCAAAAATTCTTAAAACAATCAAATTTTAGCCATAACAAGATTTGTGAGAAAAGAAAGAATTTGACATTGAATCATTAAAATATAAATCCATGAGTGATTCCAAAAACTGAAGTCTTTAATATAGAAACAGAACAATCAATAGTAATATCTCGAAATATCAAATATCATTTTAATGATGATCTACTCTACTTTTAA